TTTCTCAGGTGGTACAGAGTATAAATGTTTGAGAACCACTGCTCTAAGACATTCTTACTCTGAGCTTCACCTCAGTCATAAATGCAGCCTTAGACGTGTTTCCTGTCAGTTGTACTACAGCGTAATGGCTGGTATCTCATTATGAGTCATTTTACTCTTCAAGGAAGTGTGCAGAAAGAAACTGATGAGTGGACAAGAGTTTTCATGCTTCAAAATAACACTTGAATTGTTCCTTTTTTAAAATTGCATTTCAATCCACATTCTACTTATTATCCATCTTTTATCTTGCGTTTTACCATAGCAACAAAAATGCATCATTGTCTGTGATTGGTTGCCTGCTGGTGGTGCAGTGAACCCTTGCACCAACCCACACATCACCCACAACTGGTGAAGTTTAGAACGTCGCCGTCCCGTTACTCTTGCAGCAGCATCAGTCTGGAACCGTCCACTGAATTGAATCAGTTTTGCACAGAATACATTTACATTAACTGACATTAAAGACTATTAAAAGTAGGGCTGCAGTTCAAAAAGAGACACAGAGTCCACTTTCCAGTTTCCAGGGTCAGTGAATATTCCCACCAATGCTAACAATAAACATCAATTGTTGTTACACAACAGGTTTTGAGCTACTGTACTAGCCCGGTCTTAAAAATAAACCTTTGTCTTCTCGCGGGCTGTCGTTGTCATATTTCCAGCTGTCAGTTACTTTTGTTGACAGGCCACCGTGGCCATAAATACAGAGGCACGGCCAAAAACAAGCTGTTGGCAGACGATGGCTCCACTCCACAAAAATAACACTGAGCCCAATGACCTTTTCCTGTTTGATATAATTAGAAAATAATTTTCTCATTGTGTGAGTGTGTGTCTGCGTGTGTGTGTGTACTTGGACATTCTGTTACGATGACCATGTAACTCTCCATACCTTACTTCCGTAGCATGTGTGGTTGTGTGCAGTGGTGTGCTGTGTCACAGTGACAGGTAGTTCACTTTCGTTTTGACTTGACTGCACGGTGATCCTCTGGTCATGTAGCCGCTCTTATGTTTCCCTCCAAACGCCTGTCACCAATAATAGGGAACTGGGAGTGGCCTTGTGTAGATGCTCTTTCTACCACCAGTCCAAGAAAGTGATTATGACTATTGGTCAAATCAATGACTAAACATTAGCATAAGCCAATCAGAGGTAAAGAGTGCATTAGCACACACACGTCGACTTGTCACTCACATCGACGCATCGACGAATCGTATTTTCTGCTGCTTTCCCAGCGTGACGTGTACGTTTAACCTGTTTATTGGTGTTGTATAATGTTGTTCTCTGTGAAGCCCAAAATGAATCTAAGTTGTAACTGACAATAAGGATGTTTCTTATATCGTACGGCAACTTATCATATCTTATTGTATGATATTGTAATGTATGGTATCATATTGAACGTAGCATTGCATCACATCATATCATATTGTATTCTATCGCATTGTTTGTCATTGTAAGGCATGTTGTCACTTTTGTGATTTCCTGTTGTGACATACATAATTGATTGTGTCGTATGATACCGTGCTCTATCGTATTGCAGTCTATTGTATCTTATCGTGTTGTATTGACATCAAGAACATGAATTCTCCACCAAGAAAACTCTGACCAAAGCAGCTGAACTTGGACGTAGGATGTAAATCATTGTCAATTTATTTTATGACCTTTTTTTTTCCTAAGTGATCGCTTCATTTAAAATGATCATAAACCACATCTGGATTTCTCCGAGGTTGTATACACTAATGCAACAACATGTTTAGAGTTCTGAGTGTTTGTACTGTGAAGCCCGTCTGTCTGTGGTGAAACCTCAGTCAGATGAAGCTCATTTTGCCCTCGAACGTGGGCAGATCCTTCATCATCAGATGGATCCAATCCTGTGGTCTCACTCCACACAAGTCAGAGCTGAAAAATCTTTTAAACCCATCATCATTAATGTTTGTGCATCAGTTCTATGATTATTTTTTTAGTCTTATATGGTTCTGTCTGTATTTGAATGCATGGCCCCAGGTTGGGAATTTGAAGCTTTTATTTCTTTATTTTTTCTTATGTCCAGCACTGTAGTGACTCCAACATTTTCAAAGCAGCAGCAGAGGATCGAAGCTTTTCCTCTGATTCTGCTGTCTTTGTACTTTTCACCACTGCAGAGACTGTTATGACAAAAAGTCAGGCTGTGAGGTGGAAAGTTTGAGCCTAATGTTTGTCCAAACGGACAAATGATCAGGTAATACAATTTGTCTGTCTTTACATCATTGTAATTTAAGTTCTCCTTAAGTTTTTGCAACCTCGGCACAGCAGTGTGTGTGTGTGTGTGTGTGTGTGTGTGTGTGTAGGATGTGTAGTGTTTGGTGATAGCCCTGTTGTGAATGAGTAACAGCAGGAAGAGGTGCTGCAGATGATGTGTGAATTTCCTCCTCTTGACAAAGTGATGATATGGCCCTACTGAGGTAAGAGGGTTAACACACACACACACACACACAGCCAGGCTTTTATTTCTCACACACACACTCGACTGGCTGATCACCAAGGATCGTTTCCCAGCTGCATTTCCACATGAGCCCAGAGCAGATGATATAGAGAAAGCAGCGCTGCTGAACGTGACGCCTGCTGTACATCTGTAAAATCTATAAATACCTGCTCGCCGAAATGTCAACGATTCATCATCAGTAAAATGCATTACTGCGCAGACACTTTAGGGCACACCCGGAAAAGACTGCGCTGCTCCAGACTCCTGTTCCATAACTCTATTCCACTTCC